GAGGAGGAAGAGGAAGGGGGGGGGAGGAGGAGGAAGGGGGAGGAGGTAAGAGGGGTATGCCAAAGTGGTGGAGGAGCTGAGTGAAACCCATAGCTCTTAAATCAACTTATACCTAAATGTATCGTTCTTGCTGTAGCTGTAGGTCAGGATAAATCATTAAACCTTTGTAAAATCTGAGTAAAAGTTATTGGTTCTGAACGATCATTACGACACTTCCCCAAATGACCTTTATTTCTGATGCGACCTTAATAGTGAAACAGGTAGCAGATAACACAGATAACAGATAACAGGTAGAGGATAACAGGTAGAGGATAACAGGTAGAGGATAACAGGTAGAGGATAACAGGTAGAGGATAACAGATAGAGGATAACAGGTAGCAAATAGTAGGTAGTAAATAGCAGGTAGCAGATAAGACAATGAAGTTCTGTTTGATAATCTCTATGTAAACTCTACCTACTGTGCATACCTAATACCAGTTACTTAGACCACCTACGTCACGTCATTCACGATATAAACAAACACACAGTTGCCACATCACAGGAAACGGAGACCACACACACACACACACACACACACAGACACACACACACACACACATGCATACATACAATATAATCAAGCACTTACCAGGTAATTTTCGACAGGTGACGTAACTCCTTAAGTATAATCCCTTCAGGTTGACGAGTAATTCTCATCCAGAAAAAAAAAATATCACTTGGACATAATGTATTGCTTGGACAAAACCACACACCCCGTCACAGCGTCCGCCAAACACGAAGGTCATCTCACAACTAAACACACCTCGCTACTCACTTCACCTCACAACGCCACCACAGGCAGTAGGAGCTGAGCGAATGTTAGTCTAGCGAACAGTTCATAACCTCATTACTAATTGGCAGAGTATCGGAGTACGCCAGGCGATGTTCTGCTTCTATTGGAGTTATTTTGATTGTAGGAATCTTGACGTGGGTGTGTCTAGAGAGTTTTAAAAGCCTGGTATAACTACTTAACGACCTGAGTGGTAGTTTGTATCATAACAAGCTCATTTGGTGAGTCTGTTTAAATATGTATTGTATCATTTACATTTATTTGTAATGATAGATAGATAGATAGGTAGATAGATAGACAGATAGACAGTTAAAACTCTCCTGTCAACAATGGAGCTTTTGCCTGTCAGTTTACGAGACAGTCACACAGAAAGGTTCATGTGTAATTCATTTTGTCAATTCTTTTAAAAGTCTTTAATTTCCCAGTGGTGGATTGAGTCCTCCCAGTTCTTCTCCAGTCGTATCTCACTCCCTCTACCTATCCCTTAATATAACAAGGACTTAAGGGACGGTCTGGTGTTATTATTATTATTATTATTATTATTATCATTATTATTGGTAGCAGCAATTATAAGTAGTTTAAGTAATAGCAAATACCTTTATCATCATCATCTCTTCAACATAACACGACACCAGTACAAAAGGTTCAATAAAACAGGTTTGTATAATAAAGTTTTCAACCATTTATTTCTGGTAACAACTATTGACCAGCAAAGAAATTACAAAATGATTTTATATCTTGGCGCTAAGAGAAGTGTTGAGTTATATATATAAATACTTCACTGTTGGGAAGATCAACCGCTAGTTATAAAAGGTTCTTAACTGAATAATCTCGCAAGTAAGGTATAGGAATTAATAGCTAAATAACAATTAAAAATGACATCCAAATTACGCCGAGACTCTAGTTTGATATGTTTACTTAATTGTGAGAAATTAAATGTATAAAAAAAAATTGATTCTAAGCTAAATTAACGTATCTAGCTAAGGTAGAGTCTCAGTATAATTTTGACGCCATTTTTTTATGTTAATTGACCTATTCAAAACACAGGCTGTTATATACACTCCCAGATCTTGACTTACGAGAAAAAATCAGCATTTGAACCTACGGAAGTCTCAACACAAGGACCAATTTCTCAAAAGAACGAACGATCATTTTTTTTCATCGTTAATTGGGAGAAAAAAGATCGTATCTATGTATAGTCAAGTCTCAGAGTAATATCGACGCCATTTTGTCCATCATATCCGTTTATTTCACCTGTTGATTAATCTTCCTAATGTTACCTGGGCGGGTAGGGTAGGGTAGGGTAGGGTAGGGTAGGGTAGGGTAGGGTAGGGTAGGGATAATAACCTAAGGTCATTAATCCCAATACCAAAACTCTTCCAACGACAACACCTTCACTTATGATACGAGACCATTTATAACCACCTCATTAACCTACGATACAAAATGGCGTCCAAAATACACTGAGACTCTACCCTAACAATGTACACCGTCTCGTCTCCACTTACGACAAAAAATTAAACTTACGAACTTTAGAGAATCGATCTTGGTCTATCATGTGGCCCTGTGTGTGTCAGAGGGTACAGGGTGTCAGGTTATTATGTTATCATATATCAGAGTACCAGGATATCAGAGTACCGGGATATCAGAGTACCAGGATATCAGGGTACCAGGATATCAGGGTACCAGGATATCAGGGTACCAGGATATCAGGGTACCAGGATATCAGGGTACCAGGGTACCGGGATATCAGGGTACCAGGATATCAGGGTACCGGGATATCAGGGTACCAGGATATCAGGGTACCAGGATATCAGGGTACCAGGATATCAGGGTACCAGGATATCAGGGTACCAGGATATCAGGGTACCAGGATATCAGGGTACCAGGATATCAGGGTACCAGGGTACCGGGATATCAGGGTACCGGGATATCAGGGTACCATGATATCAAGAGTGTTGGTATGGGAGCGTAAGAGGAGCGCAGTGTTACCGCCCCAGCTTGGTGACCTCAACATAACACGGAAGCTACTGTACTTGACAGTATTGGGGGAAGGAGAGGGGTATTTACATAATGTGGTGTATGGCAACGTTACAGGACTCCTACCATGATTAGCGCCAGTGCGAGCGATCAATAGTGTCTGGCGTTGATTTTTACCATCCAGGTGTGTCGAATGAATGTTAGTTAGTTTTCTCGTTATGTAAGATTAACGTCATTACGAGCAAGCATTACCGTCTGGCTATCTCTTAACACCCTATGATAATGCCTGGTGAATGTTAGCTCGTCTTCTGCCTACACTGGCGAACATTCATGGTAGGAGGTTCAGAGCATCATCCGCCTGGCGCTTGATGCAGTGTGAACAGGAAGCCGAACAAGAGTAAAGTAAAAAAAAAACTTCAAATTTTTCTCAAGCTCATGAATGTGTGTGTGTGTGTGTGTGTGTGTGTGTGTGTGTGTGTGTGTGTGTGTGTGTGTGTGTGTGTGTGTGTGTGTGTGTGTGTGTGTGTGTGTGTGTGTGTGTGTAGGATATTAATGTGGTGTTTTATACGTGGCTCCTCTCTCTCTCTCTCTCTCTTACTTGCAGAGGAGGAGGAGGAGGCGGCCACATTAGTTACTCCCGTCACGAATGTAAGATAAAATAAAATGTATGTGTGTATGTATGTATGTATGTATATGTGTATGTGTATGTATGTGTGTATGTATGTATGTATGTATGTGTGTATGAAATAAATTCACCAGCACGGGCAATATCTTACACTTTATAAAACATCCGTAATGCTAAGGAGGGGGAAGGCAGGAAGAATGGAGGGCTGGAAGGAAGGAAGGCGGAAGGGAGGGAAAGGAAGGAGGAGGGAGGGAGGGGAAGGAAAGGAGGAGGGGAGGGAGGGAGGGAAGGAAGGAAGGAGGAGAAGGAGGAGGGAGGAGGAAAGGAAAGGGGAGGAGGGAGGGAGGGAAGGAAGGAAGGAAGGAGGGGGAAGGGAGGGAGGAGGGAGGGGAGGGGAGGAGGGGAGGAGGAGGGAAGGAAAGAAAGAGGAAGGAAGGAGGGCTGGAAAAAGAAGCATTTTAAGTATCACTAAAACCTAAAAAAAAACAAAAAAAAAAGAATAAAAAACATTATTCATCCCAAAACAACAGCAACAAGAACAACAACAAGAACAAAAGAACAACGCCACAACACAACTGAACAACAGGTAAACAGGGGTCCAAAAACAGCAATTTAAACAGGTAATCGATAGAACATACGTCCTCAATATTATTATATATATTATTATTATTATTATTATTATTATTATTATTATTATTATTATTGGCATCACCTGAAGATTAGCCCCACCTCACCTTATTTACACCTGAGGATTAATTACCTTGATGTTACCTGGCTGGGAGGGGTGAGGTTAGGTTAGCATGAAGGTGGTTAAGCTTAAGGTGAGGTAAGCTGGGGAGGATAAACTTCAGGTGTTGCTAATTGTTTTTTTTTACATATTTTACGCCACTAAGCTTTAATGTACAGAGTTATGTACAGTCCATGACAACAAATGATATGACACGATCAACAGCTGGTGTCGTCTGCAGGTGCCCAGGTGGTGAGTGGTACAGGTGGTGAGTGGTACAGGTGGTGGGTGGTGGGTGGGTGACAGATGGTAAGGTGGTGTCACAGATGGTGGATTACGGGTGGTGAGGTAGTGACATACAGTACAGGTGGCTTAGTGGTATGTGACAGGTGGCAACATTAGGTTAAGTTACGGTAGATTTTAGTTAAAGTTTAATTCTAGTTAGATTAAGTTAGGTTAGGTTAGATTCCGGTAAGATCAGGTTAGGACAACAACAGAACAAAATAACGGTAAAGACGTTAACAGGAACAACAGTAAAGAGAGTAACAGATATAATACCACCTTCATAACAACTATCTCAAACAACTACAAACATTTCATAACCACCTGTAACAACTCACAACCTGTAACCTGCACAGTACAGCAACTGTGACTAGTGGGGAAGGGGGGGCGGGAGGGGAAGGGGGGAGGGGGAGGGGAGATTATGATGGTCAGTTTAATGGTAGAGTCATCAAGGGTTATTTTAATCTACATAGTATTAAGGTGTTATGATAATAGTGTTTTTATTTTTATTTATTTTTTTCCATCTATTTCTTTTTTTCCTTCTCTGTTTTTTTTTG